GTGCCCTTGCTATGGGGCTACGGCCTATTCTGGAGGCGGGGGCTCTCTCTCTTTTTTGAGAAGCTCTGAAAGCTCTCAGTTTTGTCCCAGTGCAGAATGGAATTTTTTTTTTTTTAAATCTTAAAAACTGGATGGGCAAAACATTCCCTGCCCAGCTTTCTCCCTGACCCCGATGGGAGGGCTGAGAAGGAGGAGCTTTATCCTCTGTTTTGAACGCCTCCTAAAAATCACTGTCAGCCTCTGCGGCGCGTTCGTACCAAGATCTCCTCCCTGTTTTAAACTTGTTAGAAGCTTCACCAGCTGCGGGAGCCTTGAGGCCCATGCATAGGAAAAGCTAAAGCCCCCGCTGAGGGTCTCAGTCCTTAACCTCCCAACAGACCAAATTTCTCACGGGTGGCACTCTCTGAATCAGTAGAGTTTCACTAGGGATGAGCTTGGCCCAGGAGTCTTCTCAGCACTCCTTTTGTGGGAGGCTAGAGCAGCTAAAAATGTCTCAAATGGACTTCTGAGTTGCAGTCTCTGGCTATGCCTGCCCATCCTGAGGGAAGCAGAGGGAAGTTGGTGGGCCTGGGACCTGGTGTGGCAGAGGTGGCACAGAATTATCTGCTGGGGCCAGGTAGGACAATCAGCCAGTCCTTCACCCCTGTGACGGCAGCAAATTCCCCTCTCACGTTATAGCCCCCAGTGACCGTTGTCATCTGGTGCTGACAACAGCTACGTTGACTGTGATTGTGACACTCTGCTGCCCTGGGAAGGCTGCCAGCATTATGTGTGAGCTCAGCCAGGCGGTGAGGTTGGCCCCTGCCCTGGTTCTCATTCCCATAATCCCCATGCCAGCCCAGCAGCCAGGCCCGTGGGACAGGAGAAGAGCACAGTCCGCACGCTTCTAGGATTTGTACGACTTTTACCAGATACAAAGTGTCGCTGGGAGCAACTCTCGCTTCTGGAGCAGCCTGGTAGAACATGGGCCGGGAAGGGGGGGGCTGTTCTGGTCCTGTCCAGAAAGTGTCTGCCCAGTGTCCTGAGGAACTCTCCAAGTCAGCAGGGCTGACTATAGGATTTTGGGGACACTCAGTCTCTTTCCCCCATTTCCTTCCCATCCCTTTTCCTCCTTTATTCTCGCCCCCTCCCCCCTGCCTCCATGTGAGGGGATGGAGAAGGGAGCAGCAGACCCCTTTTCCAGATTCCCATGGCAGACAGAAAGTCTGATGCCCGGTTCTTTAATGACAGCCTGTCAGCTAGACAGCCCATCGCTCTTCCCTTGGCTAGCCTGGAGATAGCAGAGGGCCTATCACCACATGGACAGCCTGAGGCAGGGCCGGTTGGAGCAAACGGGACCGTGGACCTCAGTGGGGTTTGGATCAGGCCCCTGTAAGGCAACACGGTCCCATGTCCAATTCAGGTCTGTTCCCAAGAGTGGCGGTGTCTCTTGATGGTGGGTTGGGTGGTGGTTCTGCAGATCAGGAGGTTGGGAGGAGCAGCTGTCAGCTGTCAGGCTGGGATTTATTCCTTCCCAATCACACACAGGTAATGGGGCAGCATCTTGCTAAAGTCAGAAACTTTGGGGGTGGGGGAACAGACTAGCTTAGAACTCGGGGGGGGAGGAGGGGGGGAGAATGGGGTGTCCCATCTTTTGTTTCTTTCCAGAACTATGAGAGCCAAGCTATTTCTGCACCAACTTCAAGCACTTTTTAAAAAGAAAATAAATCCAAATTGTCCAGGAGGTTAGGTAGCTAGGAGAACTCAAGGAGAACCTTTGGACTTGAGTGCAATGGCGGAAATCAAAAAGAGGAGGAGAGAGCCTTTGGAAGCCATTACTTGGCTAGCTTTTCTTCTTCCTGTTGTCATAATTTCTTGGGCTGACGGTTTATCCCGCAGTGCCAAGGAAAGGGTACTAGTAGAAGGCTGCAGCCTGGTTCTACCCAGCCCCCCCCCTTTATTTTGGGGAGTGGGGTTTGCTGTTATTTGGTTGGGGGGAAAGGGGCTTGTGTTTTGGAAGGGGTGTGTGAATGACAACAAAGCTTTTTTGCACTTTCATTCATTTTGCACTCATTTAATTTCTGGTTTTGTTTTTGGGGGATTGGCACCTTTGTGTGTGTGTGTTTTCATGACGAAATACTCTCGTCGTCGCTGGTGCAGCTATTCTGGAACTTTGTGTCCTGAGTATACAGAGGATTAACAAACAAACAAATCAAGATGTGATGTGTTTTTGTCAGTGTTTTAAAATACAATAAATCAATGTGAGCGATGGAATTATACAAAGCTGGTGCCTGGTTATTAATTCTTAGCCCACGTTTGGCCCTTTTCAGTCAGACCTCTCCAAGTGCTCTACAAAAGAAGGTAAGTGTCTTTATCCCCATTTTGCAGAAAGGGAAACCAAGGCTAAAGAGGAAAAGTGATTTGCCCAAGGTCATATAACAGAGCTAGGAACAGAAGCCAGGTCTCCTGACTCTCAGCATAGTATGCTGTCTATTGGCCCACGCTGCCTCTTACTGCACAAGGTGCTGATTAAGATAGACTAATGCACAGCCCCAGCCATCAATTAAAATTAGGCCAGGAGTGCAAAGACCAGGCACATACCACATGAAGGACAATGGTAGATGAAGTCCAGGGCCAGAGGCTGATCTCGGTTATAGCACTGAATGACATGGAGTCGCTCTGGATTTGCACCATTGGAATACAGCAGAATTGGTCTCCACGGGGGGCAGAGTCTCTTTTCACCATTTCTGGCTGGGGCAGATGCCCACTGGAAGGCTGTGCAGAAGTCCTGTAGGGTAAGGGGAGGCTTGACTACAGGAGGGGTGGCTGATCCATGCCCGAGGAGAGAAAGGGTGCTCCAAGCCTAGGGGAGCCCATGAGATGGTGCAAGGACAAGAAAGGGAGCAGGCCACAAAGGCAGCAGAGAGGAATGAAGTTCCCCATCTGACCCCATCCCCCTGCCCCTCCAGTAGCACAGCCAGAGGGGCTAGTAGCTCAGGGCTCTGTCTCCTCAGCAGCAGAGCCAGAGGGGAAGCAATGCTACACAACCCCTCTGCCCCCTGGTTGCTCTTGCTTCTGGGCAGGCTCTCAGCCTACCTTGCCTCACCTCAGGCTTTTGGCTTGGGATTGTTTGGGGAGGGATTTCTTGGACCAGCAGGATGAGCTCAGAAATCTCAGATGTGCCATGAATGCCGTAGTTGGCACAACTGCCAAAGGGCCAAGGAGAGGCAGGTCTGGGTGGAGAGACTGTAAACCCCACTGCTGCCGAGGAGCCCCCATCTCCCATCAGTGAGCTCTGCGGCTCCTTCTCCGTTTGACCCTGTGAGTCTGCTTGTCTCTCTAATATCCCGGGACTGATACGGCTACAACTTCAACGCCAACATCCAGCTGGGGGTGTTTCCCCTTCAGGCCAGAGTTCTTGTCGTGCCTCAGCTGCTGTGAAGGAAGGGTGGGGCAGGGCGTCGACACATGGCTGTGGAAAATTCCACTCTGCCTGCAAAGCCACAATACCATGATTCATACCAGCCCCTTAATGCCCCCAGCACAGGCGTGGGGCATGAGAGATCTTTAAGCAACTGCTGAGCTGTCTGATATGATAAGATCTCCTTTGCATACCAGCATCTGCTGCCATGTTCAAAAGGCGCAGACAGAAATATCTGTGCAAGGTTAAACAGTGTCCTAAGGGCCAAGGCAACCACTGATTCGCTCTGTGAAGGCAAAACTTCTGGCATCCGGCCTTCTTACCAGAGGAGAGTTCCTATTCCCCAGTAATCTGTGGCAGCAGGGGATACAGCCAAGTCTGACCGATTCCAAGCCTTGTAGAACAAAGCATGTACAGTCCATCTCTGAGAGGGGCTTAAGCTGCCCCAGAGTTCGGGGTGCTGGGATCCAGCACCTTGATTCAGTGCATTAGAGAGTTAGGACTAGCTGCAAAGTCCAGCCTTCCCCAGCTGTAACCGGTGTCCCTCAATTGGTTGGCTCCCTGCTGTATACTGCCCCCAAAAAGTACTGTGTCCTTGTAGCAGATTATAACGAGAGTTGGTCGGGAGTTTTTTGATTAACCGTTTTTTTTTTGCTGAAAAAAAGCAGATTAATCTAAACCTAAGCTGTTTGCGAAATGGGTTTTGATGAGTCTCCTGACTTGTCTAACTTTTGAGAAAAAAGTTTCAAAGTTGTTGAAAAGTCCTGTTTTGACATGTTCAAGCAGAAAAGTTTTGGGGACTTTTTCTAGTTGAAGCCACTTTTTGTTTTGAAATGTTAGTTTTGTTTTGTTTTTTAAGGAACAACTTCAAAAACAAAACAAAATGTATTGAACATGATCAAAGCAAAATGTTTTGATTGACCTGGATGGAATTTTTGCAACAATTTCTGTGATGTCAATTTTTGTCCCAATTCAAGATGGGAACTTTTTTTTGACATCTCCAAAATATTCCCGACATGGGAAAGTCATTTCCTGCCAAGCTGTAATTGTAACATACAGCCAGGAGCTGGAGACACCAACCTTTCTGATGGGAAAGCCTTTTACGCTCCCATTCAGGAGTATCTTTATCTCCATAAAAAGAAAAGGAGTACTTGTGGCACCTTAGAGACTAACCAATTTATTTGAGCATAAGCTTTCGTGAGCTACAGCTCAAATAAATTGGTTAGTCTCTAAGGTGCCACAAGTCCTCCTTTTCTTTTTTTCGAATACAGACTAACACGGCTGCTACTCTGAGACCAGCGTTTAGCAGGTGCCACATGCCTAATTACCTCAGCTTGTGCCCAGCATGTGACCTGCCTTCAGAAAACAAAGCACTTTGTTCAGACCTTTTTCACTTCTTTCCTCTGTGATGAGCTGCCCTCTAATTCTTCAGCAGGAGATTTGTCCTCACACACCCCCTCCCCTCCCCCCGAGTGGCTCTCCGGGACCTCTTTGTCCCCGCAGAGCAATGGCAGGGTAATAATTTACTTCCTGGCATAGGCCACTCCTTGAGAATATTCCTTTGACCTTCAGACTAACTCACCAAAACAAAAACACAGAGAGGTAAATAACACCCTTATGCAACTGGTACTAGTTAGCACACTCGGCTTCCTCCAGTGCTGCGTGACTGGACAGCTCTGCCTGCTTGACTGTCTCCTTTTGGCAGGTAACACTTTGGTTTATCTACTTATTTATTCCCTGGTGGTCCCTTATTCTGGGGCACAGAAAGGAGCTGGTTTGAGGGAAGCCTGGTCCTCGATCATGGACTATCCCATACAGGGGTGTCAGCAGGCATGGTGGAACAATTTATAGAGTAGGGGGTGCTGAGAGCCATTGAACCAAACTGTAAACCCTGTATATAATGGAAACCACTTCAAGCCAGGGAGTGCTGAAGCACCTACAGCACCTATGGGTGTCAGAATCTAGGGCCAGAGAAGAGTTGACTTTGGGGAGGGCTGGCTCTTGGGCACAGACTTGTTGCTACAGGGGTGGCAGCAGCAGGCAGGAGAGGCTGATTTCAGAAGCATGCTTGTTCCCCTCTTCAAAATGATCAAACTCTCAGCAATACTGAATAGAGGTGGGAAAAGCTGCTTTGGTAGGGAAGGTTTCTCTTGCTTTGAAGAGTGGTGTCGGGCGTTCTCTCTCCCAGAAGGGAAGAGCCACCATGTGCTCAGAGTAGCGGTTTCCTGTCATGTCCCCCCATCACCCTCATTGTTTTGTCTGCCCCTCAGAGCTGATTTTTCCAGCATCCATTTTCAATAAGAAGCAGCCAGAGGCATTTTATGTTATACAGTATGTGTAAATTCCTATTTAAAAACCAGAAAGGGCAGGGATACCTGGATACAAAGCTAAACTCCCAGGGCAATCCAAACCAGCCAGGGCCAAGAAAACCAAGCCCTTAAGCCATGACAGCCAGGGCTGTGTCTGCACTAGGATTTTCAGCTGGCTCCCTCTCAGCCCCTCTGGAACTGGTGCTCAATTGGTTGTCCCGCTGGTGTGTGCAGGGTGAGTGGAGTTCAACAACACCCCTGCCCTCCCATTTTAACCGCACAGCCTCATTCTAACACTGGCACCATGAGTGAGTTCAACACCAGCCCACTGGAGAATAAGGGGGACACGTTATCAAGCACAGCAGGGGATTGCAGCACAGACAGACACAAGTATTCTACTTTATTTCAACAGCTAGCAGCAGGGCAGCAAGCTGTCAGGGTTGGGGGTTTAACCCCTAGTGGGGCTTACTCTGCACTTGGGATAATGGCTTTCGTCAACAGTTTAAGCATTGCTTGGTCCAATCTAGACTGGTCAGCCCAAGACTGATCCCTATAGACATAGGAACATGGACAACGCCAGCCTGCAGCAGCCCCGCAGTCCATCTAGCTCAGCATCCTCCTGCTGACAGCAACCATCACTAGCTGCTTTCCAGAGTGACAGATCTTTGTGTGTATGTGTGTGTTGGGGGGTGGGGAGGGATTAAAACATCCTTCCCCATGCCTTGTGAGTTAGAATGGGCAGAGTCAGACCAACATCCTCTCCTCTGATGGAGGAGTTGGCGCCCGTGCAGCATGGGGAAGGGATGTGGCCAGTAAAATGGCAGATCCCCTAGGTCTGCTCTGCTGCATGTGAGAAGCACCCTGGGGTTTAGCAGAAAGGAAAGGGAGTGGGCCCGGCTGGAATTTTGAGACGTGCTCAGCACCCTCAACGGGGCCAGGTTTTTAGCAGATAGGGTGCTATGAGCTTTTTTGAATATTTGCTCATAAGTAGCATTGTAGCAACCTCAGGGTGCTGAGCCCTTCTGGAAAATCTGGTCTGTATGGTGGATGCTGAGCACTTGTAAATCAGGTCCTGAGTGCTGCTGAAAGGCTGCCCCTAGGTCCTTTTCTTCATTACTGTGATTGAGCTGGAGTTTTGGCCTTGTGCAGTGGCCCTTTGAGTTAGGTTATTTAAAAAGGTGTCCCACGCGGTGGTGGAGGACGACGACATTACAGCTGGGTGCCCCTATTTTACATTTTTCTGCTGAATGAAGAAGGCCTGGAACCTTTGTTAGAAAATCTCCTGCATTTTACATTAGCAGTTCAGATCTTATTTACCCTGAAACCCTATAGAGAAATAGAAAGCTATTGATTAAGGTCAAACAACTGTGCAGGGGGGAGGCAGATTGTTTAAAATTCTTTGTTTGCTTACTTTTGTTAATATTAACATTAAGCCAAACACCTAATAAACACTTGGAAGAAAGAAAGTCTTTGTGAAAACATTAACAGCACTCCTTTAATTAAGGTTTGAGAAATCTCCCACTATTAATGTGAGACCTCCAGGAAAAACCAGGGGGCACCAGATTTTTGATATTCCTGATATTTTAAAGGTAAAACAAAATAGAAAATAATACTTTAAAAATCCCCACCCATCAACAAAAATCTGCTCAATCATTCTTATTCCTCATAAAGAGGGAATATCCAATTTTTAAGAAATTACCTTGCTATTCTATTATATATAGGTTCTTATACCACCCTTAGCACTGTAGTATCTGAGCATCTTCCAGAAGAGCATAAAGCATTTGTAGGTCATCTTTTCATGGCTGGCTGCAGGTAACTTATCTTGTATGCTAAAGAAATGTGTATTAATCTTGTTTGGACCATGTACATTCTGGTTCATGTGGGCAGTGTCGTTCCGCTCAAGACTGTGATACATTTATAATGATGATGGTTATTATTATTATATAAGTGAATGTCTACAGACTGCAGTTCTCTATAAAACAGCCTCTCAAGGAGTGTGCACAACATTTGGAAGCGGATGTGTGTGAGTGTGTACGTGCTTGTTTCTGTGTCAAGGGATGTGTACGCTACAGAGTCTACACCGACATAGCCATGTTGCCATAGCTATGCCAGCATAACCCTGTCGTGTGGATGCAGCCGACCCTGATGGAAGCGGTTTTTCCATGTAGGAACACCTTGTGCCTGAACACTGGTAGCTACGTTGGTGAAAACATTCTTCCATGGATATAGCTGTGGCTACACTGGGAGTTAGGTCATCAGAGCTATGCTGGTCAGGGGTGTGGTTTTTAAAGACCCCGCACCAAAGTAGCTATGTTGACCTTGCTTTAAAATGTATGAGTTGTTTATGTATGTGAGTACTTCTCTGTGTGGGGGCAGGGGTTGGGCTGGACTGGTTTGGATAGGAACAGATGTTGCCTCCAACTGTCTTGCAGTGGAGAGAGGTAAGCATTCCTAGTACAGACATGGCCTCAGATGGCAATCCTTACAAATTAACCTCTTCCTGGCTCTTTACCTGCTAGGCAGGTCTAATCATTTCAAGGGGGTCTCAAATGAATACAACAGCAGGAGTAAATGTGGGTCTAATGAGGGAGCAGCAAAGAGATACAAATTCCCAAATATGCACTTAATCTGACAAAATACTCACCCTGTGTTATGAGGTAATAACAGCTGATTGCAGACCCATGTGTTGTGGTTGATAAATGCCCCAGGGGGTCCAGAGCTCACTCTTGTATGTGCCAAAGTTGTGTCCCAGTGCTCACTGATACCACATGCAGTTCATTTAAGAACCAGGGAAAGGTGAGAGGTTTAAAATCTTTTAAGAATCACTCTACCAGTTACATCAGGGCAACACCATTGGCTTGGATGGAGTCACATGGCACTTTAAAAGGCACTGGGTGCTTAGCAGCTGCTGTCTGAAACCTGGCCTGGTTTATAGCCCGGGCACAAGAGGGACCCAGTGTCATAAGCTGAAAGCAACTCTCATCTAGGTCAGCTGCTGCCTTAATGTCAGAAGAAGAAGTTGGCTGTTTAATATTTAATTGCAATGTTTAATCATTAAAGAGCCTTGTTCCTCTTCTGACAATTAAGTCGGTATCAAAGGGGAAGAAGGCATAGCACATTCTCTCACCTTCGCTGCTGCAGGCATGGCAAAAACAATATAATTCCTCAGCAAGAAAGCCTGTCTGTGAAGACACAGTTTATAGCTCACTCCTGCTTATTAGGCCTTGTGCCATCATGGGGCCTTTCCTGATGCTGGGCTGGGAAATGGGAGCTCAGGGGCCAGAGTCACTCCTGGGGTAAGTGGAGGTAATTCCCATTGAAACCAAAAGGACTGCACCTATTAAAGCCTCTGAATTAATCTGATTAGTTAATAGGCCTAACTCACCCCAGGTGCAATGCACTGAATTGGTGAGACTGTAGCGAAGATCAGAGTGGCCCAGTTGTGTGTGTACATCACACTGGAAATGAAACGGTCAATGCCATTCAGTAGCCTGCACTTTGTAACATGACCAAGGGCTGGATCGGCCCCTAGCGATTGCTCTGAGTTAAGAGACAGGTTCACCCCTGGGCTGGCAAAGGTGCTAACCCAGAGAGGAGAGGCAGCTCATGCCTTGCCTATTCAGTGTCTGTTGGGGCCAGCACGGCCCCACGGCACAGGCTAGGACTGCTTCAAGGGCCTCTGTGTGACTTTGTGAGAGTACAACACTGCCAGGAAGCTGGTCTGCCCCCGCCACACCCGCTCAAACTTCTTACCGACCCCTGGCCTGCCCTGCTTCACCTCCACTCTGCCCTGGAATTTGCCGCAAGCTGGCAGAGTTGACCATGCACCAGGCACAGAGGACCAAGCCCTGGGCATTATGTCTGCCCTATGGGCCGGCCCCTAGCTGGCACAAAGGGGCACCTGGGGACAAAGCCAGTAGGGCGATGGATGGGAGCGGTCTTCTTTCTTACCCGGCAGCTCCCAGGCAGGGAGGTTGCAGAGACACCTGTCCACTAGCCTTTCAGTCATGCAGGTTAGCAGCCCTCTGTGGCTGGCTGGCTGGCTGCTGCCTCAGGGAACTGCTACCCCTTCAGGAGTGTGGCCAGTTCCCAGCTCCAGGCTGACTCTACAGAAGGGAACCGGTCCTTATAATCAATACACAAAAATAGTTACTCATGATTCACTGATTGTACATTGAACTTACACCATTCTTTTCATTTCCACCGGGCCGTACAAACAGCGGGGCCAGCCTGATCCTTGGTGCAGTCCCACTGAAGTCAGTGCATTTGCGCCAAGGACGAATTTGGCCTATTGACTAATCAGAGCAATTAAATACTCAAGTCCTTACCAGGTAACAGAAAAGCCCAGCCCCATGGATTTACCAAACACATTGTAAACCTCTTAACTTGTCTGGGAATCAATCAATACCCACTGTGATGTTAGGGGATGGTGTCTAGTAAAGGCAGCCTCTTGGGCATGCTCCTGAGACCAGGAGCTAATGTTCTGAGCATGCTAGCGCATCTCTGGGCACGTGCTCTGCTGGCATCCAGCCTGTGTGACCTGACCTTCATCTTCACAGGGGAAGGCCAAGAAACCGCACAGCTTCTGCGAGCCTCCCTGCCGGACGTCTACCTGCCTCCTGGACCCCGAGGAAGCGGACCCTACTCACCTGGTGCCAATTACTGAATTGCTAGCAGAGTTTCTCAGGCAGCGTGCATCTCTTTGGGCTGACTTTATGCCCATGCCCCGGCCAGAGACCCCCTCCACAGCACTGGGGAAGACTAAGGGTAATGAACTTGACCGGTACATATCTTAAAAGTCAAGCGACTCTCCGGGCCTGACTGTGTGAGCTGTGGGGTTCCAAGCTGCAGGGTGGATGAATGGGTGGGTGGGAGGGAGGGAGTGGCGGGGGGAATGAGGCTGGGAATTGCCTCCCACTTTAGTATCAGGGCTGGAAAACAGGTGGCCGACGGGAACTGGGCCATGATGTGAGTTGCTTTTAGGGGCCCTGCATTAACCTCAGCAACTCACAACCCACTGTCCCCCAGACGTCTGACCCCAAGCCCATTGACGTCAATGGGAGCCCCCTGACTTCTCCAAAGCTCAGCGGTTCTAGGCAGTCACTTGACTGGCTTTAAGCTCAGCCCTGCAGTTTTTCTGTGGCCTGACATAATGTCGACCAGAGGGAGGGTTGTAATATTGCTAGACATTGAGTCTGGACAGTAACCTCACAGCTGTATTGGTTGACTCTGCAAGCAGGGCTGAACTGTGCAGTTCGTGGGCTGTAGCTTTATAATGCCTACAGCATGGGATGGACTGCAGACAAGGCCTTTCAGTCAGGTCCTATGGCTCTCCGAGGCCATGACCTTAAATGGCAGCACCAACGGCCTTGAGTGTGCCTCAGCTCTCTCTGAGCTGGAAGCCTGTGGCCCTGAACCCCGGCACGTGCCTACATTATGGAGACTATACTGGCATTTCCATCAGGGGTTTCCATCAGGGTAAGAATGCGATTGTCCCAAATGATGAAGCATGCTTCTGTTGACCTAGCTGTGTCTACTCAGGGTTATGCTGGCATTGCTACACAGGCCAGGGGTGTAGCTTTTCACGCCCCTGTGCTGACATAACTTTCAAGAGTAGACCAAGACTAAGGATCTGGCACTTCATTGGCAAAACTTTTGTCGTTCAGGGGTGTTACCCCCCCCCCCCGAATGACAAAAGTTTTACTGACAAAAAGCACTGGTGTGAACAGCTCTCCTGCTGACAAAGCTGCTGCCACACGTGGGGGGTGGAAGTTTTTTGTCTGCAGGAGAGCTGTCTCCTGCCGACAAACAGCAGCTACGCCGCGCGGCTTTTAACGGCATGGGCTGGTCTACACTAGGACTTTAGGTCGAATTTAGCAGCGTTAAATCGATGTAAACCTGCACCCGTCCACACAATGAAGCCCTTTATTTCGACTTAAAGGGCTCTTAAAATCGATTTCCTTACTCCACCCCTGACAAGTGGATTAGCGCTTAAATCGACGTTGCCGGCTCGAATTTGGGGTACTGTGGACACAATTCGATGGTATTGGCCTCCGGGAGCTATCCCAGAGTGCTCCATTATGACCGCTCTGGACAGCACTCTCAACTCAGATGCACTGGCCAGGTAGACAGGAAAAGAACCGCGAACTTTTGAATCTCATTTCCTGTTTGGCCAGCGTGGCAAGCTGCAGGTGACCATGCAGAGCTCATCAGCAGAGGTGTCCATGCAGAGCTCATCAGCAGAGGTGACCATGATGGAGTCCCAGAATCGCAAAAGAGCTCCAGCATGGACCGAACGGGAGGTACGGGATCTGATCGCTGTTTGGGGAGAGGAATCCGTGCTATCAGAACTCCTTTCCAGTTTTCGAAATGCCAAAACCTTTGTGAAAATCTCCCAGGGCATGAAGGACAGAGGCCATAACAGGGACCCGAAGCAGTGCCGCGTGAAACTGAAGGAGCTGAGGCAAGCCTACCAGAAAACCAGAGAGGCAAACAGCCTCTCTGGGTCAGAGCCCCAAACATGCCGCTTCTATGATGAGCTGCATGCCATTTTAGGGGGTTCAGCCACCACTACCCCCGCCGTATTGTTTGACTCCTTCAATGGAGATGGAGGCAATACGGAAGCAGGTTTTGGGGACGAAGAAGATGATGATGAGGAGGAGGTTGTAGATAGCTCACAGCAAGCAAGCGGAGAAACCGGTTTTCCCGACAGCCAGGAACTGTTTCTCACCCTAGACCTGGAGCCAGTACCCCCGAACCCACCCAAGGCTGCCTCCTGGACCCAGCAGGCGGAGAAGGGACCTCTGGTGAGTGTACCTTTTAAAATACTATACATGGTTTAAAAGCAAGCATGTGAAAGGATTACTTTGCCCTGGCATTTGCGGTTCTCCTAGATGTAGTCCTAAAGCCTTTGCAAAAGGTTTCTGGGGAGGGCAGCCTTATTGCGTCCTTCATGGTAGGACACTTTACCACTCCACAGTACACGTCCGGGAATCATTGTAGAACAAAGCATTGCAGTGTATGTTTGCTGGCATTCAAACAACATCCGTTCTTTATCTCTCTGTGTTATCCTCAGGAGAGTGAGATATAATTCATGGTCACCTGGTTGAAATAGAGTGCTTTTCTTCAGGGGACACTCAGAGGAGCCCATTCCTGCTGGGCTGTTTGCCTGTGGCTAAACAGAAATGTTCCCCACTGTTAGCCACAGGGAGGGGGGAAGGTTGAGGGGGTAGTCACGCGGTGGGAGGAGGCAAAATGCGACCTTGTAACAAAAGCACATGTGCTATGTATGTAATGTTAACAGCAAGGTTTACCCTGAAAGAGTGTAGCCCCTGTTTTATAAAATGTGTCTTTTTAAATACCGCTGTCCCTTTTTTTTTCTCCACCAGCTGCATGTGTTTCAATGATCACAGGATCTTCTCCTTCCCAGAGGCTAGTGAAGCTTAGAAAGAAAAAAAAACGCACTCGCGATGAAATGTTCTCCGAGCTCATGCTGTCCTCCCACACTGACAGAGCACAGACGAATGCGTGGAGGCAAATAATGTCAGAGTGCAGGAAAGCACAAAATGACCGGGAGGAGAGGTGGAGGGCTGAAGAGAGTAAGTGGCGGGCTGAAGAGAGTAAGTGGCGGGCTGAAGACAGGGCTGAAGCTCAAATGTGGCGGCAGCGTGATGAGAGGAGGCAGGATTCAATGCTGAGGCTGCTGCAGGACCAAACCAGTATGCTCCAGTGTATGGTTGAGCTGCAGCAAAGGCAGCTCGAGCACAGACTGCCACTGCTGCCCCTCTGTAACCAACCGCCCTCCTCCCCAAGTTCCATAGCCTCCACACCCAGGCGCCCAAGAACGCGGTGGGGGGGCCTCCGGCCAACCAGCCACTCCACCACAGAGGATTGCCCAAAAAAAAGAAGGCTGTCATTCAATAAATTTTAAAGTTGTAAACTTTTAAAGTGCTGTGCTTAAAGTGCTGTGTGGCATTTTCCTTCCCTCCTCCACCATCCCTCCTGGGCTACCTTGGTAGTCATCCCCCTATTTGTGTGATGAATGAATAAAGAATGCATGAATGTGAAGCAACAATGACTTTATTGCCTCTGCAAGCGGTGATTGAAGGGAGGAGGGGCGGGTGGTTAGCTTACAGGGAAGTAGAGTGAACCAAGGGGCGGGGGGTTTCATCAAGGAGAAACAAACAGAACTTTCACACCGTAGCCTGGCCAGTCATGAAACTGGTTTTCAAAGCTTCTCTGATGCGTACCGCGCCTCCCTGTGCTCTTCTAACCGCCCTGGTGTCTGGCTGCGCGTAACCAGCAGCCAGGCGATTTGCCTCAACCTCCCACCCCGCCATAAACGTCTCCCCCTTACTCTCACAGATATTGTGGAGCACACAGCAAGCAGTAATAACAGTGGGAATATTGGTTTCGCTGAGGTCTAAGCGAGTCAGTAAACTGCGCCAGCGCGCCTTTAAACGTCCAAATGCACATTCTACCACCATTCTGCACTTGCTCAGCCTGTAGTTGAACAGCTCCTGACTACTGTCCAGGCTGCCTGTGTATGGCTTCATGAGCCATGGCATTAAGGGGTAGGCTGGGTCCCCAAGGATACATATAGGCATTTCAACATCCCCAACAGTTATTTTCTGGTCTGGGAATAAAGTCCCTTCCTGCAGCTTTTGAAACAGACCAGAGTTCCTGAAGATGCGAGCATCATGCACCTTTCCCGGCCATCCCACGTTAATGTTGGTGAAACGTCCCTTGTGATCCACCAGAGCTTGCAGCACTATCGAAAAGTACCCCTTGCGGTTTATGTACTCGGCGGCTTGGTGCTCCGGTGCCAAGATAGGGATATGGGTTCCGTCTATAGCCCCACCACAGTTAGGGAATCCCATTGCAGCAAAGCCATCCACTATGACCTGCACATTTCCCAGGGTCACTACCCTTGATATCAGCAGATCTTTGATTGCGTGGGCTACTTGCATCACAGCAGCCCCCACAGTAGATTTGCCCACTCCAAATTGATTCCCAACTGACCGGTAGCTGTCTGGCGTTGCAAGCTTCCACAGGGCTATCGCCACTCGCTTCTCAACTGTGAGGGCTGCTCTCATCTTGGTATTCATGCGCCTCAGGGCAGGGGAAAGCAAGTCACAAAGTTCCATGAAAGTGCCCTTACGCATGCGAAAGTTTCGCAGCCACTGGGAATCGTCCCAGACCTGCAACACTATGCGGTCCCACCAGTCTGTGCTTGTTTCCCGAGCCCAGAATCGGCGTTCCACAGCATGAACCTGCCCCATTAGCACCATGATGCATGCATTGGCAGGGCCCATGCTTTCAGAGAAATCTGTGTCCATGTCCTGATCACTCACGTGACCGCGCTGACGTCGCCTCCTCGCCCGGTATCGCTTTGCCAGGTTCTGGTGCTGCATATACTGCTGGATAATGCGTGTGGTGTTTAATGTGCTCCTAATTGCCAAAGTGAGCTGAGCGGCCTCCATGCTTGCCTTGGTATGGCGTCCGCACAGAAAAAAGGCGCGGAACGATTGTCTGCCGTTGCTCTGACGGAGGGAGGGGCGACTGATGACACGGCTTACAGGGTTGGCTTCAGGGAGCTAAAATCAACAAAGGGGGTGCCTGTACATCAAGGAGTATTTCAGGAAGGACTTCACGGAGGGTTCCAATAAGAAATGGTGCACCTAAGTTATCTTTCTTATTGGAACAAGGAGGTTAGCCTGGCCTCTGATTGATACATGGCTAGATTTACCTCGCTGCACCTTCTCTGT